ACAAAGCAGAGCAAAGAAGGGCAGATCCAGACTTGAAAGACAATAAATTGGTAACTAGCATAAGTTATTTCAAGTGGGGGACTTCTATGTACAAAGCTTTGTTCATCGAACATTTGTGGGAACAAGTTTTTTATGGTCATGTTTCTCTCCTGGGAAATACATAGGAATGGAAATTGCCTGGGCATATGGTAAGTGTATGTTTAACTCTATGAGAAACTACAGACCCTTTTCTAAGTTGTGTCATTTTGCATTCCCCCCAGCAATATATACAACTTTCCCAACACTTGGTATTGTCAGTCTTTTGAATTTTAATCATTCTTTTGAATATGAAGGAGTATCTTTTTGTAGTTTTGTCATCTCTGATCTTTTCCATCCTTCCCTGTTGAACCAGTGGGCATCTTTTCCTGTACTTGTTAGCCATTCATTTATTTCCTTGTGTGAAATGTTTGTCCAACTATCTTGCCCATTTTAAAAATTAGTTCTTTAATAACGATTCTGGATAAAAGTCCTTTGTCCGACATATGTACTGCAAACATTGTAACGTTTAACACAAAATACAGTCTACCAAGAGGAGAAAAATGTTTGTAATATTTTTAATATCAGTTTGCTGTTATTTCAATAAGTAGACAATAAGATATAACTAGTTTTTGTAGGTTTATGTATTTTACCGGTAGAGAGACCTTGGAAACATATGGAGAATTACAGCCTCTCTCCAAGTGTTTTGAATTTGGGGTTTGGTAGATGTATGGAATGGTCTTTATGCCTTTAGCTGAGGGTAGACTGAAAGTCTTGCTGATCCTTCTAGTTATCTCCCAGGCCAAATCACATTTATGTAGTTCTTCTTTTAGCTGCAAGTGCCAACTTAAATTAACTTCTGCGAAAAAGTCAAATTCATGACAACAGTAGAGGTGCTTGCCCCTTCTGTCCTCTGTTCTGAGTGTCAGCCTCATTCTTCTGTCTCACTGCAGACTATCTTTCTTCACATAATAGAAATCATGCCCACTGGAATCTTCTGAGTGTTTCAGCCTGCAAGGTTGGCCACCTGCAGAGAGACCACCTCAGCTCTCTGAGCTCTATGTCCAGGACCAATGGGAAATTCCTCACTGGCCCTGCTTGTCCCATAGGCCTTCTTCTATTATCCAATCGACTGTGTTGACAGGAGCGGGGGATGTATCCTGTTGTAGCCCCTGAAAGAACAATATGGATGGAATGAAGGGAAGGGGGTTCTCAGAAGGAGGAAGTCCTGTGAAAACAATTACATACAACTGTGCTACAATATTATTGGAAAAGAAGTGTGAGAGAATAGGAATAGATGAATAGGAACTAACGTCGGACATTTTATGTGAGACAAAGAAAGAAATCTGGAGATTTCATTGAGTCAGGAAACATTCATGTGAAACTGTTGATTAAACAAAATGAGACATAATCAAAATGTTGACAAATGTTATACCTCATTGATTTTCAAATATCAGTAAAAAACATACAGATGAAACAATAATGGCAAAATGTTAATATTAAACCTAGGTAATGGGTATATAGGTGTTTGTTATTCTAGTCTTTCTGTATATTTGAAAATTTTTCATTAAAAAAAATCAAATTCCAAAGTGGACCTTTGAAAGGAAGTTTTAAGGAGCATATTGGGGCAAGATTTGTCAATTCAGGTAGAGATTTCAGACTTGTAGACACTAGAACTGAAAGGGCCTTTAAGACGTCCCACAGTCCAGCCTTTTAAGCTTTGGTTGTTTGGTTCTGCTACAAACAATGTGTGTTTGGATAAACCCCAAAATTCTGTGAGACTTAGTTAGATATTTTTATTAAATGGGGAACTGGTTTTCTGTGTCAAACTCACCCAAAGCTAGGCAAGCCTAGCTTGCAGCAGGTGTCAGTCAGCAAGGTGGGTATTAAGAGTACAAGTAAGTGAGTCAATCCTACTCGCCTGGCTTTCAAGGCTTCTCATGCTGTGGATTCAACTACATGACTATCCTGTACATGGTTTTTATATCATAGTCGTTTCTTCTGTGCCTAGAATGTCTTCCTTCCCATGTCTATCTGATGAAATCCTGTTCCTCTTGGAAAGCCCACCTCAAATATTATCAGTTTTATAATATCTTAACTGAATTCCTTAACAGGATTTGACCTCTCTGCTCACTAAATCCTGTATCATTTTCTGAACTTGTCATGTGGAATATACCATATTTTACTTTTTACAATCTCTTTTGGCATTTTCCCTATTTTTGAAAAATATTTTCCTGCCTACTAGACAATAAACTCCTGAAGAAGAGGGGTCATACCTTATTTAGTCCATAGTCTCAAAGCATTAGCACAGTGACTTACACAAAGGAGATTCTTGATAACAGTGGACTCACTGTATAAGGCAGAAACAGATGTATGCCAAAACTGTGACTCAGCAGTTTTCCTACAAAACTCTTACTGGCATAAACAGATGTTTTCCTGAAATTATGATGAGGGAATATGATTATCAATTTTCTAAATAACCTTTTGTTGTGATAAGATATTCCCAGAAAGCAAAAACCCTGGCAGAAGAAAAATGTCACTCAAGATTCCCTTTTGTTGGAATTGTGATTATTTGGCATGTTTTTTGCTAGTTAGGGGTTAAAGTTGGGATTGTTGCCTTCCCATCAGGCAGCAAATTCACAAGGAACAGCAGCAGAATTAAAGGCAATGCTCTGAGTATCTGAGCAATGATGTGCTACCACTGAAGGACACTCTGATAAAACTGCAAATGGAGGGTACGCCTTATGCTTGGAATACCTGAGCTCTGCCAGGGTCTGCGAAGACAGAGGAATTGACTGAGCGCTGCTGACCTGATGGCATATGATGACTCTGACTACCAGTGAAATGGGGTCCAATGCATGTCTAGGGCTGTGAATAGTAACCTTAGTGATCCCCTCCCCTTCACCCTTGGTTGTGTGTACCTGTGGATGACACCCTGGAGGTGAAGATGCATTGAATTGACAAGGGTGGTCTTAGCAGGAGAAAAGGGATCTCTCTCCAACACAATTTAAATATTTCAGACGATTTATTTCAAGTCATTTTTGTTTGCTTAGTTAACTCATTTCTATATTATTATTTTAGAGGAAAACGTATACAATGACTACCCTTTCAGTTGTACATCACAGCTTAATGTAGTACATACCTACATAGTGTCATTCTGAAGTGAAATAATCAGGAACATACTCAGATATTTTCAAATTAGCATTTAATATTGTAATGTGTTTCTATTCTCTTGAAACCTTAGTAAAGATTTGAGAGATTTTTTTTCTCTTTTAATGAGATTTATGTATTATAATTGAATGCATTATGTTTGGGCTTCTTTCTGTTTTTCATCTTAAAAATATTAATAGAGGGTTTACAACCTCATAAATCAGTTACTTTTCAAATGAATAAAAAGTGACATGTCTCGTGGCTACTGCAAACAGCAAATTCATTTTCAATTGTGCTTTGTTTGATTCGTGTAGATTCTAACATTCTGTCAGAAACTACCACCAAAGAAAGGAGAAACATACAGATCCAGTCACTCCCTCCTCCCTTAGTATAATTATTTTATGCATTTCAGTAGTCCCTATATAAGGAAAAACAATAATTATGTCATAGCACATTAACATTTGTTCATAATGTTAGTTATTAAAATTTGTGTTTTCCTACTAGCATCAACAACTTGTTACTACTTAGATAATCTCTCTTCTTTTTTTCATTCAGTAAATATAAATTGAGGGGCTCCGTAGGACCAGAGTTCTGCTAGATACGAGAAACAGTGTGTCTTCTGTGGAGTTTACAATCCAGTTAAGAGAGACACAGAAGTCATTACAAGCGTTTAAAGGCAAAGTGCAGGGTGTAATGGGAGCTAAAGGTCAGTTACTCAGGCTGTGGCTCACCTTGATTTCTTGATTTGTCTTACGTTTCAAAATCGAAGAGAGACAGGATACAAGCTACAGTAAATGATGGTATGCATGCATACATGTCTTCCAGGAAGAACATTATTACTCTGTTAAATAATTGAGGTTCCCTTAGCCCACTTTCCTAGAAGGTTTGCTCGTGTTTAGACTGTTTATGGTGAGAACCCCCTCCCCACCCCTCACCCCCATACCTAACTCTGAAAGTAGAGTAGGAAGTGGTGTGGAAGGGATGACAAGGTGGAAGTGAAATCGATTCGGTTTTCCACCTTTCAGAGGAATGAGAACTGGTAGGTGAGCTCCTTCTGAAGAACCGGCAGAGGAAAGAGCATGACCTCGTGAGGAGCAGGGTTCGGAGTCTAATTCCTGTTGCCTTATCAGCCGCCAACTGTACCTGCAGGCAGAGCTGATCATAACAAATGAGCGCCGTCTGGAAAAAGTCGGGATAAAGTACGGAATTGGGTGGGGGCGGGAGGGGAAGTTGGCAACCGCAGTCCTTTTAGAAGTCTCAACGCTCTGAAATCTTGAGGGTTTTTCCGCCCTCACTGTTAAGTTGTCACCAGTGCACTGCGGAAGGATGGCTTGTGAATGGGGGTGAGCGCTGTGGGCAGAATTCAAGGACTGGAGTCTGCAAATGATACAGGCATCGGCACATGTCACTGTTTATAAGATGCTGATGGTCCAGACCATTGTGGGAAATGATCTCAGAGCGGCTGTGAACCTTGGCCAAAGCTGCATTTTATTTTTTTAATTAGGGTAAGGTGGCGTCCCCTTAGGAGACACAATCCCGCTCTGCGGCTAGACCCTGGCGGGGTGACGGAGGCGGGGGGCGTCGCGGGGACGCCCCTGCGCCGAAGCCGGGCCGCGGAGCACGACTCCCGCGCGCGCCGGCGCTCCCTCGGAGCCCGCTGGGCGCGCGCGCACCGGGCCCGGACGCGCGCCCCCGCCCCCCGCGCCGGCCCGCGGCGCCCCCGCCCTCCCCGCGCTCCCACCGCGCGGGCGCCGCTCAGCTGACCGCCGGGCGCCAGACGCGGCGCGCGGGCCGCTCACGCCGACGCTTCCCCCGCGCGCCTCCCCCGGGACGCGGTCGGGCCGGCGGCGCGCGAGCCGCAGCGGGGCTGCGGCGCTGAGCAGCGGTTGCGCGGCCATGGGCGCGCCGGGCTGGCCTTAGGGCGGGCGCGGGGAGCCCGCGGCCGGAGCGGCAGCCTCGCGGCGAGCCTCCCGGGCGGCGGCGGCGGCGGCGGCGGCAGAGCAGCGCGGCAGGCATGAGCGGCGCGGCGCCCGGCCCGGGCTCGGGCCCTTCCCCGGCCGCCTGCCGCTTCGCGCACTACTTCGTGCTGTGCGGCATCGACGCGGACAGCGGGCTGGAGCCCGACGAGCTGGCGGGTGAGGCCTGGCTGGGCGGCGGGCGGGCTCTAGACAAAGTCGGCTCCGGCGGCGCCGGCCTCAGCCGACGGGCGCTCGGGCGGCGATTGAATGACATTGTTATTTATTCCGCGTGCGGGGCGTGCGGCTGACTCGCGGGCGCCGGGCCGGGGCTCCGGCCCGCGGGGCGCGGGGCTATTAATAACGGGCGCGGGCGGCCCGGGGCACGGCCGCAGCTGCGCGCGGGGGCGGCCGTGAGTCACCGGCGCGCTACCTCGCGGCCGCGCCGCGCCCCGCGGGCCCCGCCCCCTGCGCCCTTCGCCCCGGCCGCGAAGTTTGAGCCCGGCCGGCGACGCGCGCTCGCGCCCTCGGGGCGGGGGGTGCCGGGGCCCCGCGCGGCGGGAGGCCCGCTGGACTTCATCCTTGACTGTCCCCGGCCTGCGCCGCCTCCCGCCGCGGGTCCTGCGGTGACGGTCGGGTCACCTTTTGGAATCCTGACTATCTGGCAGGGTCACGGGAGCTGGCGAGGACCTTGGAACGCTCGGGACCCGGCCCGGCGCCCAGTTGACACTCGCGAGTCGAAGCAGCCGGGCGTTCTCGCTCCGCGTGTCGCTGCGAGGGTCTCCCCGGAGGGGCCCGGCCGCTGGCCTCGCCTGGTGGCGCAGTGCAGGGCCGAGCTGCGGGACCGCCGCCGGGAAAGGGGGCTCTTAAAGGCCGGGGGGTCCGAGGGGGGAATGCGCAGTGTTAAAGGGAGGCCAGGGAAACCGCTGATTTCCTTTCTCACGCCCATTTCTGCTTGCCTTTTTGGGATGTGAAGCTTTTTTTCCAAATGGATGAGACAGGTTGACACCTGCCGCCTGAACTTTAATCTGTGTCAGTGTTAATCACTGAGGTCATAGTCTTGCAGAGCAGCTTGCTTTGGACATAGTCCTTATTGATCGCACCTGTGGTTTTTTTTTCTTTTCTTTTACTTTTGGTTGGGGGAGGGGGAGGCAGTCCTGGGAGGAGTGTATCAAATAATAAGCAATAGTAAACAGAACTGTTCAGCCTTAGGTTTCAGTACCCGTCAGCCACGTCTTAGCTAAGGGAGTGTCTTTTTAAGTCACTTACACAGCAGAACATTTCCAACACAACTGCAGGTCTAGTTTTAGTTAAAAATTTTGGGGAAAAGAGGGTTGAGTATTAGATTTTTCTATATATTTTTATGTAATCATAATATCTTGAGCTGAAGATTTTTTTTACATGGTAAGAGCGGCTTTGTAAAGGGATGTGAATTGAGAAAAAAAAGTCTGCAGAGGGATTTGGAGAGAGTCCTCTCTGGTTGAAGGGATTATTTTCTTTTTCTAGAATCCCTACTTAAACATTCTAAACGTTTGTGGCACTAGGTCTTTGGAGACCCTCTGTCAGTGGTGACTGATGAAAGGAAAAAGTCTGTTTTCTTCTCTATTTCAAGTCTTTTAGCTTGGTAAAACTAAAACATCTGTAGGTGTCGCCTGGGATTCTTTAGGCATAGTGCAAATGCTTTAACAAAATTAAAACAGTGACAGATTAATTTTTAGTGCATTTTTTTTTTAGACACACACTGGCTTCTCCTTTGCAATACTTGTGTGTGAGTATGGGTGATTGAGATTTCTGCGCCTTATAATACTTGGTGTTTCAAGGTAACAAGCAATTTTGTGTGATAATATTTCAGTATCTATTTCAACAAGTAGTTTTGAAAGCAGTTAGGTATGGGTTGTGTTCTAGGCACTGGAGACAGCTGTGAGTGAAGCAGTCAAAAATGCCTGCTGTCATAGTGCTTCTTTTCTAGTAAACAAAGAATGAAAAAATATAGTTTGCCAGATATTAAATACGTTGCTAGGAGGAAAATAAAGCAGGGAAATGGGGCCAGGGTAGTGCCAGCAGAATGGTGGGAGGGTGGGGTTGTGATTTTAAATAGGATGGTTAGGGACGGCCTCGCAGATAAGGTGACATTTCAACGAGTCCTGAAGGGGGTGAGAAGGGAAGCTGTGTGCAGCGTCTCGGGACAGCATTGCAGGCCAAGGAGGCAGCCTGTGCGAAGGCCCAAGGTGGGAGAGTGCCTAGTTTGTGCAGAAAAATAGCAAGTAGGCAAATGTGACTGGGGCCTGGTGACAGGGCAGTAGTAAATATGATTGCAGAGGAAGGGTGGGGAGATTGTGCAGGGCCTAAAAAACAATTTTACCCTGAGATGAGAAGCTACTGGAAGGTTTTGAGCAGCATAACACAAGATCTGATGTACTTTCTGAAAGGTTTACTGTGGCTGCCATGTGGACTAGGCCACAGCAGGCGCAAGGATAGAGACAGACCAGTGAGGAGGCTCTTTTCCACTGTTTGAGGTGAGAGGTGTTGGTGGCTCGGACCATGGCAGTAGCCGTGAAGTGACGGTGAGATGCTGTGTATATTTTGAAGGTAGAGCCAGCAGGACTTGCCGATAAATTGGATGTGGTATTCATATTCAAGGAAAGTGATCAGAGATGAGGCCCAGATTTTCCGCCCAGACAATCACCAGCACTTCCGTTTACTCAAATAGGAGGAGCAGGCTGGAGAAGATTAATTCAGTTTTGCATATGTTAAATTTGTGCTGTTCATTAGACACTCAGATGGAGATCTCAGGTAGGCAAGACATCTCTCAGTGGTTCAAGTTTATATTTAAATATAAATTGAAAGCCAGGAAATTGGGTGACATCACCTAGAGAGTGAATGTAGGTAGAGAAGGAAAGAGGCTCAAGGACTGAGTCCTGAGACCCTCTAACATTCAGCAGTGGAGAGGATGAAGAGGGAAGCCACCAAAGAGATTAACAAGTGTGGGCAGAGATGAGAGGAGAACAAGAGAAGGTAGTAGCTTCATGTTCCCCGCTGCCAGTCTTCTTGACTATTTCCACAGAGCTGCATTTGGGGATCAGGAGACACAGCCCCTGAGTTAGGCAAATTAGTCAAAAGGTTGTTTCTGTTTGGTTGCTTTAATTTCAGAGTTCATGACAGTGAAGTTTCTATTTTACTTTTCTGGAACTGATCTATTTTTATCACACTGTTTCTTAGCAAATTGTCACCCTGCCTGTAGAAGGTCTTAATTCTGTTAAACATAAATTCTGCCAGTTGCTTTACAGACTTTTTCTTAACATATGCACGCTCCTAGAATTTTCACTCTGCCAGTGGTAGGACATTGAAATCAAATTAAGGACACAAACCATATAATAAAGTAACTATTAAATAGACTAATAGATAAAGTTATCAGGGTTTTAGATTGTTTTCTGGACACTCCTCCCAATAAAGCCCATCTTTACCAACAATGGAGAAGACTTCATTTCAAACAGGTTTTTTGTTTTTAAATTAAAGTATAGTTGATATACAATATTGATCTTTTTTTTTTAGGAGAGCAAGGCAGAGTCTTATTTAGAGAGAAGGCAAGAGACAGAGCTGGTGGCAGAGGGGACAAGAGAGTCCTGGGGCGGTGCATTGTCTAGGGGTTTTATAGGCTGTATACAATACAGTGGTTCAACAGTTACCCATATATTAAGTCCTCACCCCCCTAGTCACTATCTGTCAACATAGAAAGATGTTACAGAATCATTGGATATATTCTGCATGCTGCACTTCCATCCCCATGACCAGCTTGTATTATGATTGAGTATTTTTGTGCCCCTTTATCCCCCTTACCTTACATACCCACCCACCCCAACCCTTTCTCCATGGTAACCATCAGTCACATCTCAGAGTCTGTGAGTCTACTGCTATTTTGTTCATTCTGTTTTGCTTTGTTTTTATATTCTACAAATAAGTGAAATCATATGGTATTTGTCTTTCACTTAGCATAACATCCTCTAGGTCCATCAATGTTGTTGCAAATGGTGGGATTTCTTTTTTATGGCTGAATAATATCCCATTGTGTATATGTACCACCTCTTCTTTATCCATTCATCTATTGATGAACACTTAGGTTGCTTCTGTATCTTGGCTGTTATAAATAATGAGGTGATTAAACATAGAGGTATATATATATTTCTGAATCAGGGATTTTGTTTTCTTCAGGCAAATTTCTAGAAGTGGAGTTACTGGGTTGTATGGTATTTCTGTGTTTAGTTTTATTTATTTATTTTTTAGGAGAGCAAGGCAGAGTCTTATTTAGAAAGCAAGAGGACAGAGCTGGTGGCAGAGGGGACAAGAGAGTCCTGGGGTGGTGCATTGTCTAGGGGTTTTATAGGCAGTTGAGAGACAAAGGGCTGGGGATGCAGACCTGCTAAGGGGTCCCTAAATGTTTATCTTTGAAGAGACATTAAGTTTCTTATTAGTCTTCCAGGTTATTTATAAGAAATTTACTGCTCTGATTTCCTCCCAGGATAGCAGCTTCCTGGTCTGGGAGCTTATCACTCAAGACTGCCTGCTTTGCACCCAAGGTGGGCTGAGTTATTGTCTGTTTGTTAGTTAAAGAGTATGTTAAGAAACTTACTTTTTAACTAATTGAGTTTTAAATGCAATTTTATCTTTAAGATGGAATCCTTCCTGTCTTTGTTGTTTTGGGCTTGCTTGCTAAGTTGCCAGGGTTGCAAGTCACTTGATTAGGGCTGGAGGAAGAAAAGTAGCACCTGGGTAAAGTCAGAAAAATAAGCTGGGCTCCCCCAGCAGGCCAAAGCAAATCTCACAATGGATTATCTTGTTCCCCCCCCCCCCCCCCCCCACGCCCCCCCCCCCCCCCCC